GTATGCTGGTCTATACGAGGTAATTCGAAGTAATGTTGGACATTGGTAACTACTCCGCCTTCTACACTACCTAATGACACAAATGAAGCACTAAGCCCTGAAACCTAAACCCTTAAAAAAGCGAAAGATTTCACAAAGTGGGCCCCAGAAGCATCAGCTGGACACCCAGTTCCCCGGGTTTCCTCAGCCGTACCTGGGCCACCAGGCCTAAAGATAGCTAATGCCTAAAATAGGTGTGTCTGCCATTTGAAATCTTTGTCAGGCGCAGTATTCCAGGAGTCTGTGGAGTAGCGCTCTTTTTTTGCTAGCATCAGAAGCAGCCACAATAGCAAAAGTAACAGCTGAAGCAACAGCAGCAACAGTAAGCAAACCCTAGACCCTAAGAACCCGAAACCCTAAATAGTAGTTTCCTTTTTCTTTTCCATTATCCGTATGTAACCCCTACATAACCCTATATAATCCCTATTATAGATCCCTAAACCCTAAACCCTAATCTCTAAACCCTAACCCCTAAACCCTAATCTCTAAACCCTAACCCCTAAACCCTAAGCACTAAACCCTAACCCCTACACCCTAATCCCTAAATCCTAAACCCTAAGCCCTAAACCCTAAACCCTAAGCCCTAAACTCTGAACCCTAAGCCCTAAACCTTACATAATCCCTATTATACCTTGTCGGGGGTTTCTTCTCTGCGGGCCAGCTCGCTGACAGGCGATCGGGCCGCAGTAAGCCGAGCAATAGCCTGCCTGAAGGGCTTTGTGCCCCAGAAGCCTCAGACGGTAGGGATTTAGGGTTAAGAACCAGGGCTTAGGGTGTAGGATGGTTTAGGGCTTAGGGTTTAGGATTCAATGAGTTCAGGGCTACGGAGGCTGATCTGCAGGGAAACAATAGGGTTCATGTGGTTTTTTTTAACCCCAAGCCCGCTTGAAGACTTGTGGAAGAGCCATGAAGTGGACGGGGTCCCTGTAGTCCCTATACCTTACATTTTGCGATCACGCCAGGTATATTATGGCGGAGCAAGGAGTGCCCCTACTTCTGAAGCAGTACACTGGGATACATCTAACTACATAGTGGATTCCCCACATACAGAACTCAAAAATTTGAATCCTTATCGGGTACCCTAAATAGGAACCCCTAACTTTGCGAAACTTGATATGACTGCACTACTGTGATGAAACTACCACGGGTTCTTGGGTTGCACGCCTAAGGTCGTACCCCTAAAAGGCTTCCCCAGTCCCCAATATGGCCTAATCTAGCCCTCATATGAGCCAATGTAGTCCCCTAGGGTCCCTTTAGAGGGTCCCACAACCCAGGGTTACAACGGCTTAGATTCGAGGGGGAGAAGGTGATCTTTTGAAGTTCTGCTTTAAGGTTTGAAGTTCTCAGGGTCCGCGCTAATTTGTTCAGGCAAGGTATGTCAAGGGGAGAAAAAAACATTAAGAAGGAAGGGGCTTAAATAATTTGGCTGGATGGCTCAAAACGGCAGAAAGCCCAACCTAACTCCATGTCAAGGCTCAGATTTCAAGAATGGAGATGCCCTATACCCTATAGGCCCTAAGGCCTAGACCGCGCAAAAACTGCAAGGCCATGGGCTTGATGTGAAGTATGCGTACTTGGCCTGAAGCTTCCTCCATACTTTCCACTAAGGAGGAGGGGTTTAGGGTCTAGGGCCAAACTGACCCCACCACGATCCCTCGATACTCCCAATAACGCGAAAACAGGGACTCGTGTGAGCTATAGTCTAAACTCCAGGTATCCCCCTTGACTACCGCTATACTAGTCCCCTATAACTGCGTTGAAAGAGTCCGGACCCCAAACCCGACACCCTATATCTTAAGCCCTATACAACCCGTGTATTTGGAGAAACTTTTGATTTCTGGGTCCGGGAGGCTTGGATCGAAGACATCTGCACACGAAGGAGCTGGCTAATGGGCCCAATTTCCCCGTTCAGGCCGATGATGGAGTCCTAGGTTTTGGGTTCAGGATTTGACGTTCCGGGCTATAGGGTTTTGGGTTATGGGGTTTTGGGTTTAGGGTTTGGGGTTTTGGGACTTCTCTTCGTGAGCCTGAGTGCAAAGAAAGCGCAACAGACAGAATAGAGCGAGCTGTTTCGCCGAAGATGGAAAACTCTGGCGGCTAACTCAGAAGTAGCTAAGGTCACCAAAACATCTGGGTGCTAGTTGGTCCTTGTTTGGGGGGCTGTATGATCAGAAGCCCCCACTAAGCACCACCCTAACTCTGTTTCATCCTAATAGTTCTATGGTCTCCAAACTCTATTTGGTAGCTTCCATAAATAAGGGGCCCCGAATATAGACCGTATTCTGCGGACCCCAAAAAAATGTATTCCCAATTTTGGGAATTCCCAAACCCTAAACCCACCCGAACCCCAGACCTAGTCCCTAGACCGTAAACCCTAATCCCTAAATCCTACATAAACCTTAATACCGAAGCCCTATACCTAACCCCTGAACCCTATGTAGCCCCTATACAAACTCTATATCCCCCTTAAAGGGCCCTTAACCCTAAACCGCGTATGAAGCGAATTTCATCCAGGGTCGAACACCCGGATGGCCTGACGTGGGTGTTGCCTGTTGTAGGCAGCCACGAGACCGTCATGGATACCTACAAGGTTTAAGGTTTTAGGGTTTTAGGGTTTAGGGTTCAAGGTCCAAGGTTTAGGGTTTATGGTTGAGGGGTTAGGGTTCAGAGTCTACATACCGCGTCTTATGGCAACTTAACTTAAGTCCCTTAACCGCAACAAAGTTTAGGGCTCAGGGGTCAAGCCCTGGGGTTTGGGTAAGGTGTAAGGGTAAGGTCTAAGCTATAAGGATTATAGTGGCCAGGGTCTAGAGGTCTAGGCTTGGGTGGTTTCAAGTGGGGGCTATACAAATCAAACATCAAGATTCTAGGAAGCTTGGGTGTTTAAATCATGAGAGTCATTCCAGGTGGGTTGATGCATGAAGTGGCTATAGTTCTAGCCTGGGTCCCTGAACCTCGAACCCTAACCCCTAAACCAAAATATCCTACAGTGGCTGATGATTACCAGAATCGATCGCAGGAGTGCTTTGAAATATTCCTAGGGACTCTCAGGATCCCCAATACCTGGTACCCCACTGCCCGTTAAGACCGCAAAATTCTTAGGAAATATGCCTACCTATGACCTATGATTTCTGACATGATGCTGGTGATCATGGAGCCCCGGGCATCCATGTTGTCCACATCCAGGCCAAGCTGTCTTGGCTGCAGTTGGCTCAGATCCAAGCCCACCTGACTCTAAGCAAGAGCATTCTAGGGTTTAGGGTATAGGGTTTAGGGCTTAGGGTTGAAGGTTTAGGGTTTAGGGTATAGGGTTAGGCTTTGGATGTCTGTTTAAGGTTCAGAGAGCAGTCGCACTAGCATGTTTACTCTTGTAATCATCACAGCAAGAGCCCGCCAAACTTCAAAATATGAAGCTGCGTTTAAGTCCAAAGCCTTCTCAGGTAACGGGAAGACAAGGGAGTAATAGGATGATGGGTGCATGGGCAACAGGCAGGGGCAGAGGTATACCTAACATACTTGGAGGTTTCCCAAAAAGCAGTGGTACCAGTTTGGGGTGTCCCTATAATCAGGGTAATTTGGGGTTTATATTGGGGTACCCCTACTTAGGGAAACTCCCACATGTATAAAGAGTTTCCTTCGTAACAGCTCAATGCGCATCAAAGGCAACTCCCGTTTTATAATTGTCTCATCTAACATCCTAGGGAGTCCAATACCCCTTAATTAATTAAGCAATATACCTCAAGTCCTATTTAGGGTCCTAGTAGAATCTTAAGTATATTCCTTAATTACGGTGTATTGACATTGGGCTCTCTGGGATAACGCAGGGAGGTAGTTCACATGAAAAGCATGAATGAACTGCCCAATCCTAATATGGAACCCCAGTTATACAGTCCATTTTATGTTGATGCCCAGAAGGGGTACCTAATTCTTCTGAGAAACCCCCCACCCCGAACCCTAAAAATTAAACCCCATATTCATGTGACGAGCGGCAGCAAAAAAACCTACTTCCGGGGCTTCCGCGTCCTCGGACACCATGCATATTGCTTCGTTCCTGTCTGGCAAAACCTGTGGGGGTGGGGGAGGGTTTCGGGTTTGGGGTTGGGGAGGGAGATCTCACAGTCTTAGGTCCCCTTTCCGAGGGTCATGAGGATCATCTGGCTTAATTCCTAAAGCCTGGAGCCGCTACATGTACAGGAACCCCTTTGATTCATGCAAAGGCGGACACCCTTCCAAAACCTAGGTTCAAAGACTTCCAGGGTTTTGTGGGGTGAATGGAAAAGTGCCAGTTCGGATCCCCGTTCTTTGTACAGGATGATCAACTAGGAGTTTCTCTAGATAAGCGTAAAGTAGGGGATCCTATTGCCCTGTGAAGATGTATAGGGGTGATTAGGAGTCCCCCTCACGCAGTCTGTAGGGATTATTTGGACAAACTCCCAAGCAATTTTGTGAAGAAGCCACCTGAGACAATGGCACTTCTGCCGCCACATGCTCCGAGTCATCGCCGAAGCAGCAGCAGTACGTAGAAAACATGCGGGGATGACCTGGCCCTGCAGGCAACCGCAAAGAATCATGAGCTATCAACACACATCCTCACTCCCTTTGAGCCGTAGGTGGCTCTGAACGCACAGGCATCTCGCCCGGTATAGGGTTTAGGGTTTAGGGTTTAGGGGGGTATGCCAATGGCGGAAGGAACTCCTGCAGCCCTCCTTGGGCAGTTCCTTGGAATCATGGGACCTCAATACAGACCCCAACAACCAAACAGTAAACATCCCCCACTCGCTCTTGAAGGGAAGAATATTTCAGGCCACCCACGTACCAAGTGGGCTTAGGACTTGGCGTTTAGATTGGAAATTCGCAAACTTAGTCCATTAGACTCTAAACCCCTCTTGAGGTCAAACCTAAACCCAAGACCCCGTGGAGTGTGTCGTCCTCACGCAACAAGCCGACTTTAAGATTGGTGCCTCTTGGCAACGGTAGCTCTGCGACATCCAGATAAAAACCGCCTCCCAGAGTTTTGGTTTTGGGGTTTAGGGTTTAGGGAGGTTTGGGGCTTTGGAATTAAGGTTCCGGATCCCTATAGCCATTCCTACAATCCCTTCAAACATGCGGGCTTCCAAAACAAATGCATGCTGCTTTTTGGAAGTCCCAGCAAAAATGCTTTCCATGCGTCCTCTTTTCATCCTAAGCCCTAAACTCTAAACCTTAAAACCCAAACCCCTTTTTGCAACTGGTCTGAGCAGTCCGCTTACCCTAAACCCTAACCTAACCCTAACCCTACACCTCAAACCATGCTCGCCTTTGGCTGCCTGTCCTAGCTCGGAGGGAGCGCCAGCGGCTTGCGTGCCGGGAGTGACCGCCAAGAGCCGCTGAGCCTGCAGTTTAGAGCTTAGGATTTGGGATTTGGGGTTTAAAGCTTAGGGTTTCGGGTTTAGGGTTTGGGGATTAGGCTTCCGAGGTTTCCAGCTTTGAAGGTTTCCCGGTACGCCGCTCTGGGTTTGGGAGCATCGCATCGTGGCAAGACGAATACAAACATCCTGCGCTCATTAAAGCTAGAGATGGCGAAGCATCACTGGTTGCTTATTGGGACACTTGAAAATTCGAGCGTGTCGGCGTTGGGGGGGCCTAAGGGTCTGCGGCCACTTGCCCCCCTTGCCAAACTTGCCCTTGCCCTACTTGCACCACTTGCTCCGCTTGCCCCACTTGAGGTTCAGGACTCTGGAATGACTCCCCTGTCAACAACTTCATACAACTAAGGGTAAAAGGTTTTGGGCGCTGATGGCTTCAACCTTTTGATATGTTCTTTCGTGAGGCTTACCCTCTTGCCAACCAAAAGATCCATCGAAAACTCGATTGTGCAAAATTTGCTCCCACATCAGACAAGACGCCGCAGTACTGCTTTGGAGATGGATATTGTCTCTGGGTTGGACTTTGGAGCCCCTTGAAAGATATGGGGGTTTCCCTAAATTAGGGGTACCTTTTTGGGGGTACCCATAATAAGGACTATAATATATTGGGGTCTATATTGGGGTACCCTAATTTTGGGAAAGTACCATATATGTATATGGGGTCCATATGAAACCAATACCCAGACCCCTGGGCGGATCTAGAAGTAGGGGATTCTAGAAATTACCTAATAGTAGTAGAGGGTACCATATTGGGGATTCTACTTTTTAGATCCTCCCAGGGGTCTGGGTAAGGGAGAGGTCTAGATCTCAAAGGCGAACCCAGATCTGATGTGGGAATGATGTGGGCAACTTGTCTCCTTTCAGGATTTAGGGCTCAGGGTTCAGAAGTTTAGGGGTTTTGGGGTGGGGTGTGGGGTTAAGGGTTTGGGTTTAAGTGGAAGCATGTTGGAAGATGCAATGGAACCCGCTTTCTTCTACCTAGGATTGCTGGACGGGCCTAGAAAGGAACTCCCCAGATCAATGAATAGTTTCCCCTGTCAGACACCTGGCAGGATCTAGAAAGTAGAGCCCCCAACATGGTACCCTCTACTATTATTCGGTAATTTCTAGAACCCCTTACGGGGGTTCTAGTTTCTAGATCCGCCCAGGGGTCTGGGTGCATCATTATGGGGAATCTCATCGTAAATCCTTTTGTGGTCCGAATGGGCACTTTGTGAGAAGCTGGGTTTGTGGGCTTTTGTGCTTCAGGCCTGAGCATTCCACAGCACTGATACCTACACGAGCGCAATGGTTTCGGCCCCCCAGATGAGCTGTTGAATAACAAAACTTAACAAAACACTTCTTGTGCACGAGAACAACGGAGCATAAAGCAACCCTCTAGCAAAGCGAAACATGAGCCCTGGACTTAATTTGTAACATATCCCTTAAACGATCCCCCCTTAAACCCTGTACACTCCACCTATAGGTCCCCCCCAACCTGAATTTAGTCCGTAGCTCACATGAATTTCTTTGGGCATGCAAACCCTGCACTGCACGCCTTCAACACCCATGCCTCCATGCCCTCTCGATGCGAGGGCAGAATGGGTAGACCTCCTCCTGGCCAAGGGTTGGGGATAAGGGTTTAGGGTTTAGGGACAGTTGGGTTCTTGATTGCCTTTATCAATATTCAGGATCCAAGACAATTGGATCTCGAGCTTGCACACCACTTGTTTGCGCCGAGCCAGACTAATGAGGAAACAACTATGTGGTATATCGAGGTCTATGTCAGGGGCGAATTCCTAAGCCCCAAGTCCAGACGACACCTCATGATTCCCTAGACTCGAAACCCCTACACCAAAAACCCTAAACTCTAAAACCCTGAACCCGAAACCCCAAACACCACAACCCCAAAAACCTAACCCACAAGAACCTTTGGGATGCCGCCTGTCACTTAACAACATACCATTCTCACTTGGCAATTCCGGAGTTGAAAGTTCCAGCCTAGTGTAGACCCATGATTGATAAACCCCCTGGTTTAGGGTTTAGGGCATTAATATTCGGATCCTTATTGTCATCCCTATTAACGGGAGGGGGTTTATTAATCACGGGTCTGGGTTAACTCATTTGCTTAAAGCCCCTATGATGCTCGCTGGTTCCTAGTAGAGAATATGGGAATAGATTATATAGGGATTCTGTAGGGGTTGCTTTCCCTTAGTCCCTACTAAGAACCAGTAAGGATGGGTTTAGAGTTTAAGGCGTGGGCTGGGGCCCTCTGTAGCCCTTACAAAGCCACATGTGCTGCTTCTTTGAAACATGTGAGCTGGGAATAGCCTGAGCCAAGAAGGCGAAAGTCCTGAAACCCAACACATAAAGCGCTGACCCGAAAGCCAAAGTGCTCAAACCCAAATGAGCTATAGTCTGAACTCCTAGTATCCCCCTTATATAAGCCCTATAATAGTCCCCTATATATAACCCCCTATATAACCCGGGCCCTTTAAGGAGTTTAGATTATGGCTCAAATGCGCCTCCAAGAGATTGTAAGTGCTGGACTATCTGCCACAGCTTGGCGGCACTCATGACCTTCGGGGTATGGGGCTCGGGGGAAGATCAAGACAATATGGGAGAAGAACATTCTGCAACACTTTGCAACGATTCTCTGGGAATTTGTAGCGATTTGAGCACTTCACACTCTGTGTAATGCAATCCTGGCCACTGTGCGCAAGAAACGAGAAAAATGGCGTGCCTCTTCAGTTGCATGAGGAAAACGATATTCGAAGAAATATAAAGTGGCTAAGTGGCTCTAAGCCCCAAAACCTGACGGACTCCTGCATTCGCGCCCTGCCCCACCCCCCAATGGTCTACATTAAGCAGGTCCCAAACTCGCCATCTCCAAACCCTACACGCCTGAAGCGCCAAATTCCTCAACCCTTCACTCTCTGGTTTTCCAACCTGACCGCAAACAACCCAAAACCCCACACCCATATAAGCCTCTCCCTGGACCCTCCAATGTAATTCCTTTTGGGGTTTGACTTGTTGTTTTTGGTTCTAGTCCCCCTTCAGTAGATATGATATGGCTTTAGGTATATTATGGTAAGACCCCCATATACGCCACATCCTATCCACTTAGGGGGGACTATGGGCGCTCCTTCTTAGGACCTTCACGGAAGTACTACCCTTCCATAAACCTCAAACCCTAAACCTTCAACCCTAAACCCTGAACCCCAAACCCTATAGACCCTAAACCCATTGCTTCCTAAACCCATTGCTTCCCTTCCCTCAGATCTAAGGAGTGAGGCCTGAAGCTCTTCGGGCTCCTTCTGGACGACCGAGGGTGGCGCTGCCGTTCTGGCCTGGGTCAGGACTATAATCCCCCTTAAGTAGATAGAATACAGCTTTGGGTATACTATAGTAAGATCCCCATATACCCCATAGTCTACCTACTTAAGGGGACTATGGGCTTCAGGTATTATTAGTTTAGGGTTTGCCCTGCTGCAATACCCCATAACTAAGCCATATAAGTTTAATCCTATTAAGGGTCCTAGTATAAGTTTAGGTATATTCCTTGATTAAGCAACAATATACCTTAAACCCTTTTAAGGGTCCTAGTCATTTTTAGGTAGATTCCTTAATTGAGGGGTATTGGGCTCTCTGGGTATACCATCACGAAAGGCCCGAGAGAGGCAGGCAGCTGCGAAGTGGTTCCAGCATGCTTCCACACTACTCCCGCATGTAGTCATGGGCAGAGCCGACGCAACACTGAAGGGGCTCGGAAAATTGCCAATCTTTTTTGGCACCGTGTCTGGGCGCGAACAGTTTAGCCCCAAAACCCTACCCCTACAATAGAAAGACTGGTCTGTTCTTAAAAAACTTCAAATTCTTCGCAAGTCACAATATTTTACTACATGTCCATATGATGGTCCCTCGGTTTAAGTTCTTTAGGAGAAGAAATCACTCTGCTTACATGCTTCAATGCTTTGGCCTATACGCAGGTTCCTAAAGCCCAAATCTTGAATCTCAAGACGTAAGCCTATAATCCTGAATCTTAAGCCCAGAACCTAAGCCCGGAACCCTAACTTCTACGGCCTCAGCCCGAAACAACCTCAATCACGTTGCCAGGGGCTCTGCCGGAGGAGGCTTTCGTGCAGGAGCGGGAGCTTTCAGGCGCAAGCCCGTGCGAGTCTCCGAGCAGCGGCAGGGAATTTTAGTTGTGCGAATGAGTCTGGGACACGGGTTCGGGTAAGACCTGGTAGCCCGGAAACATTGCAATCAGGGCGGCCTTTTCCTGTTAACCGTATGAATGAACCCAGAACCCGAGAAGGGTAAAAGGGTTCTTCTGGGCTTCCGACAAGAGTTTAGGGGATGAGTCTGGAATTCACAGAGAGCTGGGTCGCAGGCTTCGATATCATTCTAGCATACTTTTGGTGCTTGTAGAACAGGATTATGTGGAGATTGATCCGCTCCATGAAAATGGGAAAAGGTACTTTCCCTAATGTTCCTATATATTCCAATGACAAGCCCGGTTTACATTTCATCGCCGGCCTTTCATTTGATTCTCCATGTGGAGCCTATCCTCCCTAGTGCCATACGGCCCTGGGTTAAAGTTCTGGTATACTCCTTCACAAGTGCCCATACCCGGGTTTCAATATCCCCCTGTAGCTTCCCCCTAACCCAACTTCAGTCCGTAGCTAATTGTATGTGTTATGCGAACACCACTCTTGAAGTGGTGTGTTTCAAAGCTTCGCCTGTACGCTTGTAAAGCGGGGAACATTGATGACTATCATCTTTTACTTCTTTGAAATCATCCTTCGGGTTATACGATAGTTCATGAGAATTGAAAATAATTCTAAGGAGACTGCAGTAGGAACAGACAAGCCAGAAGGCCAAACGCCAGAAAATGGAATGGCATGCTGGCATTGACGAGGGGATACCTTTTGAAAACGAACCGGGCACCAGTAGCGTGATCATGAAGCGCACTTGGGGATGGACACCCGCAACTACCTGAACCTTTGATGTGCGCAACCCCTAGCTGCTAAGTTTCCTGCCCCCTGACGAAGGTCAGGTAATTCTAGTAGAGGCGCATGTTAAACCCGGCACCCTGAACCCTAAACGCTAACCCACACAGGTTACAGGTCACCCACTCAGTGACTAAGAATCAGCCTGGGAAGTCTGCACATGTTCGGAAGGTCCGAAAGTACCCCGCGCCCCCAAAAGCACAGATTCAACATTCCTGAAGCTAGCCGTGTTCTCAGCGTTGTCATATCATTGAAGTATTGTTGTTTGTCATAATCATAAAAATACTTCAACCCATGAAGTATTTTGGAAATGTTGTCATTATTACTTTTTACTATTATTCTTATTACCTCTACGATTAGATCGTTTTGGATTCTAGTGTAGTCACTAATATTATTGATACTATAGTGATAATATTATTGTTTTGTGGTCATTGTTCTCATACAAACATGACTACTCCACCCCAAACCAAGAGTTCCAGATGACCTTCTGCCTATGGAAACCTTCCGTTGCAGCTGCCCGACACCACCATGTTGAAAGGTCATAACTTCAGATGTAACGTACTGGGCAAGATCTACATCGCAAGATGCTGGCGGCTGTGGCGGAATCCTCAACCCCACGCTCTGCACCCTTCTATGATCCCAAACCGACCCTCTTCCCACTCAAAGCCGAGAGCAGAAATACCCTAAACCTTAAACCCCCGCGCCTTCGATGCCCTCAGCCCCACCAAATAAAATAGAATTGTAAAAACGGTATATCCAAAATACCGCTCTTATGCATGACAGGGTTTCCCAAAATCAGGGGCAGCAGGTTAGTGGTCACCGTACCAATAATTGTACCTATAATACATACCCAGACCCCTGGGAGGATATAGAAAGTACAGCCCCCAATATGGTGCCCTAAACTACCATTGGATAGTTTCTAGAGACACTCAAGGGGGTTCTACATTCTGGATCCGCCCAGGGGTCTGGGTATATTGGGGTCCCCCAATTTCTGGAAACTACAATTTCTCTGCAAACCCTGAACCCTAAACCCCTAAATCCTAAACCCCTAAACCTAAACCCTAAACCCCTAAATCCTAAACCCCTGAACCCCGAATTTAAATCCTTAAACCCTAAACCCCTGAACCCTACCGTTTTGGAACCTGGCCTGTGCGACGGGCTCCCCGAGCCCGATCTGCAGCAAGCATGGACTGCTTTTTCTTAGAACTGTTGGGGGTTTAGACACGCGCATCGCACAAGTTGGGGGTTAAGGTTTCAGGGTTTAGGGCTTATAGGGTTTCAGGTTTATAGGGCTTTGGGTTTTAGGGCTTATTTAGGCTTTATAGGGTTTAGGATGTATAGGGCTTAGGGTTTTAGGGTGTTTAGAGCTTGTAGGATTTAAGGTTTATAGGTTTTAGGGTTTTAGGGTTACGGGTTTACAGGGTTTATAGGGTTTAGGGTTTATCGGAGCTTGTACGTGTTTGTTGGGGCTTATAGCGTTCAGGGTTGTAGTACTGACAAGAATAACAACACTCCATCGGAGCGTAAATGCGCGTGGACTCATCGGCGCGCACAGCTATGGCAAGTCCTGAGAATACACGTCAACAAATAGGATGTTTGAGAGTACTTGCCGAACTACTGCATTTTCCAGTGGATTCTCTCAGGTAAGAATTTGTGAAATGTGGGTATGCAAAGCAGCAGATGGAGGCCGGCTCATTTTTCTCATTGAAGCAGCCAGTCTCTGTGGGTTTAGGGTTGGCAGTTTAGGGATTAGGGTTAAGGGGTGAGCGTGTAGAAGGGGCTGTAGTACAGTGGGTTCCGGAGGAATCGTAACTTTTACAACCTGCCATGTGAAAAACATAAATTCTGGGCATTGTCTTTGCCCGCGGCATCGCAAAACCGCGAGGAATCATCCCCTAAACCCTCAAATCTAAACCTAAACCCCAAACCCTACACCCTTAACCCGAGCAGGAAAGCTAACGCAAAGCTCTGAAATTGACAAAATCAACTACTGTACCTTTTTGGGTATACCAGCATCGTAATTGCTAAAAAAAACCCACGCTTTGGCCGCGTAATCCAAGTTCGTTACAAGCCTATATTGTATAACTCGAACATGTCATCTTCCATTTTCTTTTCAGTTCATTCTCCATTATGGAACTTCAGCCGTGGATAAGCCCAAAATGGCGCTTCTGAAACCCCCCAATTATGGAACTTCAGCTTTGTATAAGCCTAAAATGGCGCTTCTGAAACCCCCCAAACCCTTTTAAACGGAACAGACTATCGTAATTGGACTGAAGTTCCTTTAAATCAAGCCAATCCCAAAGGGTCCTAAGTACCCATATGGGGAATACTTACCCAAGCCATAAGGGACATTACTACTACAGAAACCATACTTTGTACCATATAGGTACTTTGGACCCTTTGGGAATTAAAGCCTAGTGGCGTTGGCGGCTACACCCCCAGCGGCGCATCGCCCCCGAGCATCAAGCCCTGCAAACAGGTGAAGGTTCATACCTGAAAGCCTGGACCCCCAAAGCATATAGGGTTTAGGGTTTAGGGTTTAGGGTATACCTGAAAGCCTGGACCCCCAAAGCATATAGAAGAATAGCCTTTTTACTTGTTTCTAGGGTTTGGGCGCTCGTTTTAACAACTTGCGAGGTCCAGGGAAGGAGCCAAGTAGGAGGTCTACGGCTTTTTCCGAACCATCGACATGAATCCGTCGGCAAATCAGAGTGGGCTTTGAACCACCTTTGGCCAACCTCCCATGCCGGGATATACCCGGTTGAGGTTTAGGGTCTAGGCTCCTCTGGGTGATGAAAAATCTGACATCCTAGTCGTGCTGGCAAAAGAAATGTCAACAGCTTTTTACTCCTTTCTGCGGCATGCCCGTCCTGTGTAGAAGCCGCTGTAGCCGGTAGTTGCCATGCAACTCAAGATTTCAGGGCTCAAATGGCAAGGAGTTGGCTGCAGTTCAAGCTAGCTGTTGTACCTGGTATTCCGGAGGAAGAGATAATCCCCCCAACACACTTCTCTGCCCCGCTGGACTGCTGTGAGGTTTTGTGGAAAGGAAACATTACGTGGCAACAGTGGACATAATTTAAGCTCGTGCTATATTGCCCCGCACTTCACGTACACACTACACCTATGTTCTTCTGGACACGAAAACCTGCATACCCTTTCCTGCTAAGCACGAATTGCAGCATGCCATGATTGTATGACCATAGCCCTGCCAAACCATGTTGCTTGGTATTCAAACGGCTGTGTGCATCATATCCAAACTCCCAAATCAAGGCTGTGCACTTGCAAGTCTTTTCGGACCAAAGGATTTACCACAGCAGAGAACGCTCCCACCTTCCCGGTCACGGTCCAAATTTTTGGCAATAATGATAACAATAAGAATAGTGATAGTGATAGTAATAGTAGTGGTTATAGTAAAAGTAATAGTAATAATATTGATAATCGGTAATATACTAATAATAATAATAGTAACACATCCTCAAACGCAAGCAGGATGTGAACCCTTGCCTGCAGAGTTTTCAAGTGTCGAACACTGCTCGGCCCTTCCCCTTAAACGCACAGAATTCAAGAACGCAGGCGTTTGGGCATGCAAATCCCTCATCCGAGCTATGTGCCCATTATAGTATAGTTTCCATGTTTTTTCCATTATCCCTATATAGCCCCAATGTACTATAGTATTTTCCACTTTCTTTTCCATTATCCCCATATAACCCCAATACTCACCCTAAACCCCAAACACTAAACTTTTTAAACCCCAATAGACTAAACCCTAAACCAATAGACTATAGCAGTTTCTATTTGGGTGGATGTCAAAATTATGGTCCCTTGTTGGGTACCCTAAATATTAGGTGCCGTATTATACTAGGGACACAAAAAGGGATCATAATTTTGACAACCAACCATGTAGAGATATGGTTCATACTTGGGGTTTTGGGCTCAGGGTTTGAGCCCTACTAAGGGTTAACCCTTATAGGCACCTATAATAGGAATATGAGGGAATCCCAAAGGGTTAAGGGTCTAAGGTCCAAGCTAAGTCCCAGGGAGTATTTGAACCCTCAATTTGAATCCTCAACTCTTGGGCGTAAACACTGAACCCCTTCTTCTAGCCCTTGGTTAGCTGGGAAGTAAGGAATGGAATAGAAAAATGGAAACTGCAGGGATTATGGGCATCATATAGGGTTTAAGGTTTAGGGATTAGGGTTTTGGGTAGGACTGGAAAAGAAAATGGAAACTACTATAATGGGCCATACAGGGACTACTATAAGGATCGATTCCTTCATTTCTTGCTAACTGAAGGTAAGTCTCAGCCTGAATGCTGAACCCTTCAAATGGTCAACTCTAATCCCAAGCCCGAACCCTAACTCTCACTGCCAAAAAGGTGTTTATACTTGCGCTACATTCTAGCTTCCTTTTACGCACATGGCAGCCGTAAAGCCCCCTTAAGCTTTTGATCCAAACAAACTCATTGAACTCCCTGAACACACGAGCTGTAGTCTAAACTCCCTAAAGGGGAATATATATGGGACTATATAGGGGAGTACTATAGGGGATATTAAGGGGGATACTAGGAGTTTAGACTATAGCTCACATGAAGGCTTAAGGTCCTGAAGCCCGAACCGCCTATGCCCCCAACCTCGATCTGTAAACCCAAAACCGCCAAAAACCTGAATTCCTAAACCCTCATCCAGGCTCATTGCATTCAAGTACATCTTTTCCAATGGGGCCTCGCTGTCACAATCCCGTCCGGGAGGGTTGTGATGAAGAAGGGTTTGATGGGAGTCTTATCAAGCTACTGATCAAAATCACCTGCCCCGCGTGCACGGTGCTGTGCTGTCTGCTCCGGAGGGTCTGCATCACACACTTTGATCCGGAGATCGATGACTTATTCTTGCTGGTTCCTACAAGTGTTACGGGGTGAGTATGTGCTAAATACTTTGTTTGATCTGGAACGGGTATGGAACGGACGCCCAGCGCAACGTCAATTTTGAGATATTGCATTCGTTGGTCTGGGATGGAGGAGTCGGGAACGGAATTCGAGGACTTGTTCTGGATCTCTGGATCGGGGTCTGGATCGGGATGTGCGCCTCCTCTTGTTCCGGACCAATCATAGTGAGTGGTAGGCAAGAAGGGTTTAGGGTGGGGGAGTGAAAATAGGTACCATAGGTAGGGGCGTATGTGGAGAGCATATAGGGGTTATTGTAGGGATCCACTGCCCCACTCTCCCTTGAGCACTGGTAAGTTTAGGATGGTCACCAAGGCTCGAAAACTCCTTGTTAAAGCGCTTTGGTAGGGTGGGCTTGGCGGTTCCATGTATCTGAAGTTTTGGGGATGGCGCCAAAGGGACTCTAATCCTTGAGCGCTTTGATTGTGGAGTTAGTAGGGAATAAGGGAATATAATAAGAGTATCATATAGGGATTATACAAGGATAACTGAACATGGAAACGATTATCTACGGTTTTGGTGAGCCTTGGCTGGTGGACTCTTGGATTCGAATCATCGCTAGCGGTCGACAATTCAATCAGGGAGAGGACACTGCGTCGTCACATACCGTGCGCCTCCAGCAAGCTTGTGCCAGAAATGAATGTCAGCCCTACCGTCGCCCTGTACATGCGAAAGATGAGCGACCGAGCTGAGCAAGTGGACCTCCGAGTGAAAACAAAAGGCCTTACCCTGAACCCTAAACCCCTAACCTAAAACCCTTTCACTTTCAACTGCCATAGTGTTAGCTGAGTCCAGCGCCTGCTCGATTTCTGGCGGGTCGTATTGTGCCATTTGCTGTAGAAAGAAGCTCCTGCGGATCCGACCATGACAAGAGATTGCAAAAGCAGAGAAACGCTAGATGAAAAGTCAGTTGAGTAGTGCTAGACGCAGTGATTGACGGGTAAACGCGCAGGAGTGGAAGCGGCAGTCGTAGCAGGAGGAGGAGGATCGGTAGCAGCACTAGCTGGACAGCGAAAATGAAAACCTAAACTCTGAACCCTTAGCCCTAAACCCTAAACTTAACCCCACATCCTAAAGAAACAACACCCAAAGGTGCAAAAAGAGCGGCCTCGAACCCAAGTGAAAAAATCAGAGGCTCAAATACCTGCAAGGCCCATGCCTGGCTTATGTTTGCTGGGGAAATTAGGGGTAATATAGGGGGTTATACTGGGATAATGGAAAAGAAAATGGAAACTACTGTTCAGTGTTTAGGGTTTAGGGCTCATTCTACCATGGCCCCTAGCAAGTTGCGGGGTCTCAAAGGACATCATGGACTAAACCCTCAGCCCTGAAGCTTCACAAGACATGACAAAACCGCTAAACCCTAACCCTCTGAAGCTGACGTCAGATTGGTTACCGGACTATGAGTAATGCAGGAGTCCAAAGAATTAGGATATGATTTTTGGGTAGACTTCACTATAATTCTACAACGGGTATAAGAGGGATAACATTGGCAGTAATTCAGGCTTCCCATACCTATACATATACATATATATATATATATGTAGAGTACCATTACAACAAGGGCAGACTTTTGCTGGCTCTCTCTCTCTCTCTTCCTCTGTGCTTGCTGTTCTGTGTGGCCAGCAACCACCGTAAACCCTAAAGCCTAAACCCTTGCGGCTCCAAGTTGATAGTGATTTCTGCGTACATAGGAGGCAGTGACTGTACTGGTGCTTAAGGAAGGAAGAGTTTAGGGCTTAGGGTTCGGGGAGTGGGGAGTGGATCAGCTCCCCAGGTAGTAGTCGCTATATCACTAAGGATCCGTCAGGGTAGCGAGATAAACGGATATGGGGAGGGGGTGTTCTGACAGTAGGGTTAACCAAAGGACCTAGGCATGTGTAGGGACTGCAAAGAGTGTGTGGTCTCGGCAGCATTGCTATACATACACACACAAATGCGAGTATGTATATATATCTGTGTGTGTGTGTTTGTGTGTGTTTTATGTTTGGACTAACCTAAAAATCATGCAAGGTCGCTGGCCAGCTTCCTTTTATTTCACACCCTTTTACTTCGATTTTGCACGAGGTGTGATCACGATCAGATGCTGCTGTTCTAGGCATTCAAGCTCTCAGAGCAAGAAACTTACCTACATGCTATGGTGCCCGTTGCGATCTCTGAATCTCGTCATTATTCAAGCCAAAATCACCCTCCATGCCTAAACCCTGCACCATGCACAGTAATTAAACCATATACCCGAAACTTTCAGATCCAATGAGATATGTTCCATCACGTCACCTCGGCACTAGGCGGATCGCCACACCAGGAAACACGCGACCTCCATCTATTATTGGGGGGCTGGGGTGCGGGGGGGTATTATTAGCCCTAAACCCTTAGCCCTGAGCCCATGCTGTTGTTTCATGTGAAGCTGGGCTTATCTCGGGGTTGTATGAAGGGATTCTGCAATGTAGGAGCCTTAACCAGTAAGACCATCATTGTCAGGTTTACTTGTGGGACGAATTACCATAACCAACAAGCGAATCTAACGAAT